AGAGCAAGTTTCAGGACAGCAAAGGCTACACAGAGAAACCCTGTCTTGAAAAACCAAACAAATCAAAACAAAAACAAAAAACAACAAAGCCCTGGGTTCAATCTTCAGCACTACAAAAACAAAAAATATATATCTGTAGTCCCAGCATTCAGGAGGTGAAAGCAGGAGTATCAGAAGTTAAGGTTTTCCTCAACCTTAAACTCATAGTGAGTTGAGTTCTGTTGAGCATGGTGTGGTGGTTTGAATAAAAATGGTCCCCATAGGCCCATAGGGAGTGGCACTATTAGGAGATGCGGCCTTATTGGAGTAGGTGTGACACTGGAGGAAGTACGTCACTAGGGGTGGGCTTTGAGGTCTTAGATGCTCCAGCCTGACCAGTGTGGCAGTCTCTTCCACCTGCCTGTGGATCTAGATGTAGAACTCTCAGCTACTCTCCAGCACCATGTCTGTCTGCATGCTGCCCTGCTTCCCGCCATGATGATAATGGACTAAACCTCTGAACTGTAAGCCAGTCCCAATGAAACATTTTCCTTTATAAGAGCTGCCATGGTCATAGTGTCTCTTCACAGCAATAGAAACCTTAACCAAGACACATGGATTCATGAGACAGTTTAAAAAAAAAAATGTGTTTCTGTTGGCTAGCATAGCACAATGCTCAGAAGGTGCTGGGGAAGAATTGTCAACAGTGTTACTCAGCTGTGGGTACTGTGTGCTGCACTATCAACCTATCAGGCGATATATACCCACGGACGAAACAGTGGCATAACTTACAGGGGTAACCAACCACCAACTTTTTTTTTTTTTTAAATTGGATTTGAGGCCTGTTCCACTGGAGGGAATTCCTACCAGGTACTGTAAACCTGGTCAAAAGCTTATGGCTGGAAAGGCTATTAACCCTAGTGGGGACACTACTTCTGTTTTGCCAAAATGGACATCGTGTGCCTGTCAAATTGCCCTCTAATAAGTTTTTGCTCAAAGACTAGTGTTGCTATCAGCTTTGGTCAGAGAAGCTTCTTTTTCACAGTACGTAGTGGTTAATGTTGGGACTTATAATTGGTCAGTGTGAAGCGAATAAGTGATTGTTGAATGTGCATCCCTAGGATGGGATATCACTATCATTTCCTCTAAGGCTCAGGGAATACTGTGGTAGAAGGAGTGGAGAGAATGTAAGGGACAAATGAAAGGGTGGAGTGTTGTGGAATGCTGTCTTCCAGGTAGGACATGGCCATTACACCCTTGAATGCTCAGTAGCTGTGATCACCTACACAAGGCTTGCAGAAATTGAGTCCATCAACATTCCTTCGTGGAGGCTCCCCTCCGAGGATCTATAGGGAGTTAATGATAGCTGGACAAGGGAGAGACATTTCCTCTGTGATGTTGCCACCAGTAAGATGCCTATTCTGTAATTGACCTCTTACCTATAATCCTGTAAGTAGCCCTTGAAGCTCATTAAGTACACACACACACACACACACACACACACACACACACACACACACACAAACTAAAGAACAAAAAAACGAAAACAAAAAAACCGTGAGCAGGGGGCTGGAGCAATGGCTCAGAGGTTAAGAGCACTGACTGCTCTTCCAGAGGTCCTGAGTTCAATTCCCAGCAACCACATGGTGGCTCACAACCATCTGTAACAAGATCTGGTGCCCTCTTCTGGCCTGCAGTTATACATGCTGTATACATAATAAATAAATAAATCTTTAAAAAAAAAAAAAAAAAAAAAAAAAAAACCGTGAGCATAGAAAGGGGATTAGCTGGGAAGAAGATTCATGGGAGCGGGAAGGAAGAGAACAGAGCATAATGGATAGTGAGTCAAACTACATTATTTACCGGCTGGAGAGATGGTTCAGCAGCCAATAGCACAGGCTGCTCTTCCAGAATACCAGGGTTCTATTGTTTGCACCCACATGGTGGCTCCTAACTGTAGGTAACTCCAGTTCTAGGGGATCTGATGCCCTCTTCCGACCTTCACAGGTACTAGGTACATGTAGTGAACAGACACGCATTCAGGCAAAACAGCCATATGCATAAACATTTAAAAACCTATCTACATGCATGGAAGTATCACAATAAAATCATATGTATAATTATGTTCATATTATTATAATATATAATTTATGCTAATAAAACAAAAGAAGGCTGGAGAGATGGCTCAGATACTTAAGGACACATGGTGGGTGTGGCAGCACTTTAATCCTAGCACTAGGAGGCAGAGGCAGAGGCAGGTGAATTTCTCTGAGTTCAAGCTCAGCCTGGTCTATGTAGAGAGTTCCAGGATAGCCAGGGCTACATAGAGACCCTGTCTCAAAACAGAAAACTTTAAAAAGATTATTATAGAGTTATACTGGGCATGGTGGAGTATGTATGTAACTCAGCATTCAGGAGGCCAAGGCAGGAAGTTTCATGCCAGCTTAAGTTACATAGCAATACCTGGTCTCAAAATAACAGCACAAGATCAGGGAGTTGGTAAGTGGTTATGGTCATTTTCTGAGATTTGGTGAACATCAACTTTACCAATTACATCATGCCATTTTAGATAGTAGAACATTTAGGCAGGGTCTTGACTAAAGATGGGAAGATTTTTTGTTAGTTTTGTTTTTCAATATAGCGTTTCTCTGTGTAGTATTGGTTGTCCTGGAACTCACTCTGTAGACAAGGTGGGCCTTGAACTCATAGAGATTTGGGAGTGCTGGGATTAAAGGCATGTGCCACTACCACCTAGCTTTTTAAAAAATAGTAATTTATTTTTATCTTATGTGCATTGGTGTTTTGCCTGTATGTATGTCCCCTAAAACTGGAGTTACAGACAGTTGTGAGTCACCATGTGGATGCTAGGAATTGAACCCGGGTCCTCTGGAAGAGTTGCTTAGCAGCTAAAGGTGTCTGCTGACAAGAGTTCTATTCCCAGACCCATGTGGTAGATGGAGAGAGTCAACTTCTACAAGTTGTCCTTTGGTCTCCTCTTATCCCACGTGTTCACACACACACACACACACACACACACACACACACACACACACACACAAATAAATTTATTTAAAAAGGAAAATAAGCCAGGTGGTGGTGCACACCTTTGATCCTAGCACTCAGGAAGCAGAGGCAGGATCTCTGTAAGTTCAAGGCCAGCCTGGGCTACGGAGAGAGTTCCAGGACAGCCAGGGCTACAAAGGAAAATAAAGAGCCCTAGAAGACACCAATTCTGTCCTTTGGATGGAGCTTGGCATGGCTTACCTTGGAGAACATCCTTACCTGTCACTTGTCGCCCGTTACCAGGAGCCCTAGCTTCATTGAAATATGGCCAGGAAGGTACACTGTCCTTGGGTTACCTATTTTAGCAGAGCTTTTGGGTGAACTGTTCCTCAGTGAAGATAAGGAGTCTGTCTTAGTCTGTGAAGAGACACCATGACCAAGGCAACTCTTACAGAAAGTTTTTAACTGGGGGCTTGCTTACAGTTTTGGAGGGCTAGTCCATTACCATTATGGTGGGAAGCAGACAGGCATGGTGCTGGAACAGTAGCTGAGAGTTTTAGGAACCGATTTGCAGGTAGCAGGCAGCGAGACTGGGCCTGGTATGGGCTTTTGAAATATCAAAGTCCACCCCAATGACACACATCCTCCAACAAGGCCACACCTCCTCCAAAAAGAACAGATCTCCTAATCCTTTCCAAATAGTTCCAGGAAGTGAGATGAGGCTGTAACCCTTACAGCCTGTCACCAGGGGCATATTTCTTCCAGCAAGGCCCCACCTACTAAAAGTTCCATAAGCTTCCAAACAGTGAGCGCTATTAGCTGAGACCGAGAATTCAAATACATGATCCTATGGTGACAATTCTCATTTACACTCCCAAGAAGCTAAAATAAAATACACACACCATAAATTCTGTATTGTTTTATAGTATATTTAAAAAATGACAGTAAGAATGTACTCCCCTTACTAGGGAGTGATACATCCTTTGTCACTGATTAGAGCCTTAAAGAGTAACAGTGTTTTGTTCAAACAGAACTTATAATTGCACAAAAGTCATACAAAGCTTTAAGAAATGTTGACCAAGATTGCAGTTTCTGGATTCTGGTGGGTGTATACCCTGTGGGCCTGAAGTCCAGTGGTGACCCCTGACCCATACTTTTGACTGATAGTCAAAGCTCCTCAGTGGCCACAGGAGGAAGAAGTCCAGAACCCATGAGCCCTGTGACCACAGGATTCTGTTGCAGTGCTGGGAGTTAATGATGTTCATCACCATCACCTTTCCATCACCCCAGGAACATTTGAAAACTTGTCAGGTTAAAGAAGACTTACCAGGCTTAAAACTTACAGTCTACTAAGGTTTGGGCCTTAGATGCCACTTCAGGAAGTAAAGAATAAAAACCACTAGCCACAAGGTAAAAATCTCTCTGTGCAGTGTTCTTATGACACCAGCAGCTTGGGCACCCATTTAAATTTCTTTTCTTTTTTTTTTTTGAGACAGGGTCTCTCCTGGAACTTGCTATGTAGCCCAGGCTGTCCTCGAACTCAGATCTGCCTGCCTCTGTCTCCCGAATGCTGGGATAAAGGCGTGCGCCACCACCGCCCGGCTTAATAAATGATGCTTTCATTTATTGTCTTCTAGTCAGTGGTGTTGATGGGTCCAACTCAAATTCCAACTCAGTTTAATTGGCAGGAGTTTCTGGGAACACTGTTGTAGAGGAGGCTGGGGTACCATCTGGACTGGGGAGGGCTCACTCTGCTTTACTTCTGACCTGCGCTGGCAGGACCTGTACTTTCTCCTTGCAGTCTCTGTGTTACTATTAGATTCATTTTGAAACAGGGTCTTACTCTGTAGCCTAGGCTAGTCTTGAACTCATAGCAATCCCCGGCTTTAGTCCTTTAAGTGCTGTGTTGATAGGTGTAAACTACTATGCCTGGGTACCGTCTGTCTGTATTATGTACACACTCAGATTTAAAAGAAGTTAACACACTAGCTCTTAGGGCTTTCCTCTATCACATGAGCTTTTTTTTTTTTTAAAGATTTAATTTTATTATGTATACAGTGTTGTCTGCATGTATGCCTGAAGACCAGAAGGGGGCGCCAGATCCCATTACAGAAGGTTGTGAGCCACCATGTGGTTGCTGGGAATTGAACTCAGGACCTCTGGAAGAACAGCCAGATGTTCTTAAGCGCTGAGCCATCTCTCCAGCCCCACATGAGCTTTTGAATAAAGTGTCTATATTAATACAGCCCTCCTGCTCACCATGTAAGCTGCGTTGTACAACTGAACCTGATGCTATGTTTGGAGAAAGAAACATGACTCTTTGCCATTGCCATGCCATCCCTAGCTTAGAGTAAGGAGTGGACCACATGGTGCACGCCTTTAATCTCTGCCCTCCAGAGGCGGAGACAAGTGGATCTCTGTGAGTTTGAGGCCAGCCTGGTCTATAGAGTGAGTTTCAGGACAGCTAGGGCTGTCACACAAAGAAACCCTGTCTAGAAAAACCAAAACCAAACCAAACCAAAAAGTAGACCATAGGGTTTTCACAACTACCATGAGTGGATTTTATTTTTATTGGCAGTAGAGATATACAGTACTACCTAAGATTGTAGTACTATTTTTGTTTTGTTTTGATTTTTTTTTTTTTTTTTTTTGGTTTTTCGAGAAAGGGTTTCTCTGTAGTTTTGCGCCTTTCCTGGAACTCACTTTGTAGACCAGGCTGGCCTCGAACTCACAGAGATCCGCCTGCCTCTGCCTCCCGAGTGCTGGGATTAAAGGCGTGCGCCACCACTGCCCGGCTGTTGTTTTGATTTTTTTGACAGGGTCTCTTCATATTGCTATGGCTGGCTTATAACTTGCTATATGGACCAGGCTGGTCTGGGGCATGAATTGTGACAATCTTGCCTCTGCCTTTAGAATACTGAAATTACAGGCACTAGCCATTATGCCCAGACTGGGTCCTATCTTAATGATTTTGACAATAAATACTGCAAGTAGCTATGTGGATCAGTTCAAAAGAACCTATAAAGGGCTGGAAGGTGGTGGCTCATGCCTTTAATCCCAGCAGGGAGGCAGATCTCTGAGTTCGAGGCCAGCCTGGTCTACAGAGAGTTCCAGGATAGCCAGGGCTACACAGAGAAACCCTGTCTCGAAAAACCAACCAACCAACCAACCAAATCATAAAAACCCTACAAAGGTGGGGAGGGTACAGGAAGATGGGTAGTTTGAGGCCAGCCTGAGCTACATAAGAGCCTGTCATTAGGAAAGCAACTGATGAAGGATCTGAGGCACACAATGACATTTTGTCTAAGAAGAACCTATGAAGGACAGGAAGGTGAATGGTTGAAAAAGAATCCCCTTTAAATTGAAGAAAACAGAGCTCAAGGCCTGGATCTGTGGGGACACAGATACTTTTCCTTCTCTTTCATCTTCTTCCTTAGAAGAACCTGGGCACTTTCTAGGTGCTAGGCAACTGAATGCCAAGAAAGATCAAGATTCTCGTTGGGTGCTGGTGTTGCTGTCCTGTGGCTGAATGGAAAGACTGCAGGACACCCGTGTTTCCTGAGCCTGAGAGGTTCCACTTGATGTGAAAAACTTGGCTGGGGAGGCAGAGATCATGGAAGATAAGTACTGGCCACTTGGAACACTGAAAGGTAGCTTTTAGAATAGGCAGAGACTTTGGTGAAGAGTAAAAATACAGGCATCACACAAGCATCTTAGGATAGGATGTGGATCTTAGCACATGAGCAGGAAGAGAAGAACTTGAAGAGAAGATTTTTTGCTGAAATGTGTTAACTGGAATGCATGGGAACACAACCAAACCTGTACTTTACATCCACATGTTAAACTTTCTGATCATTAACTTTTCAGAATTAATGTTGCTAAAGTCCTAGTAACAGATTGTTCCAGAGTTCACCACTTCAGATTTACATCTATTTAACATGAAAATGTCCTCATATCCAGGGACATCCATCATACAGCTGTGCACTCCCCATGGAACCTGGGTCTAATCCCCCACAGAGACACTGACTGCACACACAGGCTAGGATGCCAGTCTTGGACCTGAGATGTACCGGCTCCAGTGGTGGTCAAGAGGTCCTGCTGCAGATCTGTTCAATGTCATTCATCTCTTTGGGACAATCTGCAGAAAGGATCAGAGGTGAGTCCTGAGTCACCACGACATCATCCTCAATCCGTACTCCAAGACCTCGAAACTTCTCTGGTGCATCTCTGTCATCCTCTGGAATATAAATGCCTAAGGAAGAGAGAGAAGGGCTGTGACCAATGACAGTAACCAGTGGATCAGAAGCAAGTTCACCTCTGTTACAATTCCCTCATCTGTCTCTGACAGATACTCACTGCACTTACCTTAGAGCTGTGAGAATTAAATGAAGTACTGCACACAGCAGAGCTGTGTACATGAAGCTCAGTCAAGGTGGAACTCATTAGCTAGGATTACTACTGTTATAGCCGTTTTTTTAGTAGACTACAAACTGTATTCAACTAAGATAATACCATGTAATTCTGACATGGTCTAGTGGTTTAAGAAAGTCACTAATTTACAAATACGTTATATACATTACAAACCAGCAGATTATATAAATGTACATCTTCCTTTGCTAAAAATCCTCTGAAGAAAGGCTATTGGATTAAAATATAGTATGAAGTCAGCTGTGGTGGCACACATAATGAACTTAGGAGGCTGAGGTGGACTATCTGGGCTAGATAATGAGTTAAAGGCCAGCCTACAATAAACAGTTAAGTCCTGTCTCAAAGGTAACAACAATAAAACAAAACCCAAAATGAAGTAAAAAAACATAAAGTGTATTAAAACATATTTAAGCTGGGCGGCGGTGGTGGTGCACACACTTGGGAGGCAGAGGCAGGTGGATCTCTGTGAGTTTGAGGCCAGCCTGGTCTACGACAAAGTGAGTTTCAGGACAAGCTCCAAAAGCTACACAGAGAAAAACCCTGTCTTGAAAAGCCAGGACTATTACACAGATAAACCCTCTCTCCAAAACAAGAAAAACCAAACCAAACCAAACAAAACAAAAACAAAAAAAACCCCCAAAAACCCCAAACCAAACCAAAACCAAAACCAAAAAACCAAAAAACCCCAAACAATTGGGGTTGGGGATTTAGCTCAGTGGTAGAGTGCCTGACTAGCATGCGCAAGGCCCTGGGTTCGATCCTCAGCTCCACAAAAAAACAAAACAAAACAACAACAACAACAAAAAAAACAAACCCCAAACAAACAAAAAAATCAAGTTCCAGGACAGCCAGGACTATTACACAGATAAACCCTGTCTCCAAAACAAAACAACAAACAAACAAAGAAAAGAACCTGCAAACTTCTTCAGATACTCTGATAAAAAGAACAGCAACTGTAGCAGCCATTACTAGCCAGAACAGCCTCCAATGCTGCAGAGCAAAACGCAACTGACTGCTTTCATAAGCTAGTATAAAAGACATTTATTGCCGGGCGGTGGTGGTGTATGCCTTTAATCCCAGTTCTAGGGAGGCAGAGGCAGGGGGATCTCTGTGAGTTCAAGGCCAGACTAGTCTACAGAGTGAGTTCCAGGGCAGCTAGGACTGTTACATACAGAAACCCTGTCTTGAAAAGCAAAAACAACAAAACAAAACAAAACAGAAAACCCTAAAAAACAAAAACCAAACCAACAAACAAATAATGTAAAACGACGTTGATCAGTCCCGACACACCCAGTTTTCAAACTCTGGGTCGTGTTCTTACAACGCAAGCAGCATCGTTGTTTAAGCCAGCTGTCCTCACAGTCTTTGCACCCACTGTGGTCCCCACTCCACTCTTCCACTCTGCCCACTAGGCACTCACCTGAGGCAGTGGGGTAATGGTGGGTAGTGCACTGGAGGTAGCAGGATGTTACAACCCACCACGACTAACTGTGAGACTATCACAAGCCGGCCCAGCAAAGGCAGGATTAAAAAAGATTTATTTCTTATATGGACTTACAGAAAGGACTTGCCATCTGTTGTTTATTGGAGGAGTGAAATTAAAGCGTGTGATCTTAAACAAGGAAACTCAAGACAAACCTAAGTATTTTATAGTCTGTAAATAAAAATAAGCAATGTATACTTCAGGGTTAACCCGTCCCTCACCTGGTTCAATTGTGATCACCATACCAGGCTGCAGAGGGAGTGAACGAGGCATGTCTGGAGTGTCATGGACATCCATTCCAAGGTAATGGCCAACATGATGAGGGCAGTATTTCCGAGCAGCCTGGAAAAGGTAATTACCACAGTATTATTAGGGCACTGAGTTGACATGGATAAACTGAAATCAATAAACCAATGAGATGTATTAATAACTACCAGTTTCTGCCATTTATATTTAAACTATCCTTGGACTAATGCTTAACAGACGTGACAAACTGCCACTTTGGGGGGGATGTAGTGTGGTGTGGTGTGTGCACTTGTGTGCAGGTACACAGGCACACGAGCGTGCCTATTGAAGCTGGAGTTGATAGTGGCTGTCTTCCTCTACAGAACTTCATCTTGTTTCTTTCTTTCCTTTCTTTTTTAAAAAAGACTTATTTATTTATTATGTACACAGTGGTCTGCCTGCATGTATGCCTCCATGACAGAAGAGGGCATCAGATCTCATTATAGATGGTTGTGGCTCACCATGTGGTTGTTGGGAATTGAACCCCAGTCCTCTGGAAGAGCAGCCAGTGCTCTTAACCTCTGAGCCATCTCTCCAGCCCCACCTTGTTTCTTGATTGACTGGTTTGTTGGCTGTGTTTTTGTGTGAGTGTACATGCCTAATGTAAGGGGAGGGAAGAGCACAACCTGTTCTCTCCTCCTAGCATGTAGGTTCTGGGGAATGAACTCAGGCCATCAGGCTTGGTGGCACGTGACTTTATACATGGAACTCTCTTGTCATTTCTGCACTTCACCCCCACCCCTTTTTTCTTGATGAACTTGCAGAGGTTTCCCAGAGGTCTCTATGGTCTCCACCACCCAGTGCTGGGATTATGGGAACAGGTTGCTGTGGCTAGTCTTTTTTTTTTTTTTTAAAGAGGTAGGGTTTCTCTGTGTAGTCCTGGCTGTCCTGGAAGGAAGTTACTCTGTAGACCAGGCTGACCTCAAACTCAAGAGATCCACCTGCCTCTGCCTCGGAGTGATGGAATTAAAGGCATGAGCTACTACTACCCAGTCTTCTTTTCTTTTCTTTTTTTTTGTTATTTTGTTTTTTGTTTTTGTTTTTGTGCCTTTCCTGGATCTCGATCTGTAGACCAGGCTGGCCTTGAACTCACAAAGATCGCCAGACTCTGCCTCCCAAGTGCTGGGATTAAAGGCGTGCGCCACCACCGCCCGGCTCCACACCAACTTTTTTAAGTGGATGCTGGGGATTGGAATTCAGGTCCTCACACTTGCACTGGAAAGCACTTTACTCACTGAGCCAAGTCCAGCCTGGCAAACTGTTACTTCCTCTATGCAACTGTGCCATTAGCATACTTACTATACTGCCTTTCATTCCACTGTTAAGTTTATTTAACACAGGCTAAGGAACACCAGCAATAACTGACAAAAGAAAACCGTTTCTGGCATGAGGATAAAGCTCAGCAGTATTTGCTGACCATATGCAGGTCTTCAGTTTGATCCCTAGTACAGAGGAATCTTCTTTTTTTGAGAAAGGGCAGACAGCAATGCTGTTATCCTTTCAAGTCATACAAGGAAGACATGCAGGGTAGTGGTGCTGCACGCCTTTAATCCTAGCACCTGGGAGGCAGAGACAGGGGATCTATGAGTTCGAGGCCAGCTTGGTCTTCTATAAAGTGAGTTCCAGGACAGCTGGGGCTGTTACATAGAAAAATCCTATCTCGAAAAACCAAACCAACCAACCAACCAACCAAAGAAGGAAGATACAAACTATGAGCACACTCTTGGGTGGAGACAGGAGAATCAGGAGTTCAAGACCAGCCTAGGTTATGATGACCCCACCATCAATGACATAAAAAATAAGATATAACTCACATATCTATCTTGGGTAGCCTACTCTGGAAACTCTGAGTATCTCACATCAAATTGTGGAATAGGCATGACTGTATATTCACTGGCTTGGATATTTCTATCAGTTAGTTAAATATTTGCTGGCTTGGCACAGGGAATTTATAACTTTTTTTTTTCTGCTAATAGGAGTCCTGGAATCCTCAACTTGGAGATAGAAGATGCCTAATGCTTGTGTGACTCAGATTTTTGCAATTATAACGGATACCATACATTTAGATACTGACAAAAACTATTAAAGATGTAGTCCTTGGGCATTTTGCTAAGTCTCAATAATGTAACTGAACCAATAAACAGCCTCCCCTCTGACCTCCAGAGTCTCCAGGAAAGGTTTAAGAGTTAACCTTCTTTCCTTGTCTGTGTTCCTTCCCACTCTGCCTGGACAGACTTCATTTTTTGTTTTCTGAGTACTGCACTTATGCTTTGGCACACAAAGACTCAGAATGTACTGCCATCTTCTGGCAAAAATAAGCAGCACCCACCTCCTTTGTTTTAATCCATGGTAAAGCTAATCCATTTTACAAAGAATTGCAAAGACAGTGCCTAAGTCTGTTGACAATTGAGCAGCATGCTGGCTGTTCTCAAGGACTGGGTGGAGAGGAGGAGGTACCTTGAAGGCGCTTTCTTTGCTGTTCCTCAGGACCCCCAGATCCTTCAGCTTCTGCCCCATTAGTGTCAACATCACCCTGTAGATGTTCTCCAAGCTTGTCCCAGGAGAGCACAGGGTCAAACACGCTCTCTGGATCTCTAGAACAGCTTCATAGAGCTCTGCCTGAGGTGCGGTGAACCTACGGACAGGAAAGCAAACGAATGCAAGTCAGGTAGACGGGCCCGGCAGCAGCTGTTTTCCCAGCCCACCATCTTGCTGGCCCTTCCATAGTTTAAGGTGGAAGTTTACATCACTGATTTTAAACCTTTTCCTCCTTTTTATTTCTCGTGTTACAGTTTGAACCCAAAACCTTGTGAATGCTAAGCAAGTACCTACCACTTTCCATTCCAGTTTAAACATTTAAAGTTTATCAACTTCAAAATTGGGCATGGTGGTACAGGACTAATAATCCCAATACTCATTAGGTTGAGGCAGGAGGACTGTAAGTTTGAGGCCAGCCTGAGCTATACAGTAAATGTGCCAATAGTTTTGGGTTACTAAGTGAGATCCTGCCTAAAAACAAAAGTCACAAATTTTTGCTTCAGCTATATTCCCCTAATATTTATATACAGTGTTTTCTTTTCTCTCTCTCTCTCTTTTGTTTTTGTTTTTGTTTTTTTTTTTTGAGACAGTTTCTCTGTGTAGCCCTGGCTGTCCTGGAACTCTCTCTGTAGACCAGGCTGGTCTCGTCTATCTGCTGAGCCATCTCTCCAGCCCCTGATCTTTAACTCTTTATCATTCTGCTTTGGCTCCCTGAGTCCTGAGTTTAGAAGCACAGCACCACATCGGTCTCATATTCAGTTTTCCAACTACTTGGAGATTTAAAAAGAGATTGTATTTATTTTAAGTTATGCATGTATGTGTTCATGGTTTGTGCATGTGAATGCAGTGCCTGACAAGGCCCCTGGAGCTGGCTTACAAGCAGTTGTGAGCTGCCCCACATGGGTCTTCTGGAAGAGGAGCAAGGACTCCTCATTATTGAGCCATCTTTCGACCTCTACTATTCAGAGACTCTAACATCTACTTGTCAGCTGGGCATGGTGGCACACGCCTTTAATCCCAGTACTGGAGAGGCAGAGGCAGGTGGATCTCCAAGTTTGAGGCCAGCATGGTCTACAGAGTGAGATCTAGGACAGGCACCAAAACTACACAGAGAAACCCTGTCTCGAAAAACCAAACCAAACCAAACGGGAATATATATATAAATAAAATTTGTCACTATGATTTGTTTGGTCTGCAGCTAGATATCTCATGATCCCTGTGAACACTTGTCCTATACATTAACAAGACTGTAAATCGCCTACTGTTCGGGACCACCCATTTCTCTCTAGTCTTTTCCGTTTTCCTTTGTGTACGCTGGAGCTGTTTCAGGAGCCTGTGCACTCACAACCACTGTCACTGTCATCCACGCTCTGCTTTACTTCTGACCACACTCTTGTCCTGACGTCTATTTTGTTTGTATTAATGTCACTGTTTACTCTTGGTCTCAGCCAAAAGATCAAGAAGCCATACCATTTTAGCTTCCTTATAGTCGATGTTTTCATGGAAATGTCTTTCTCCACCTTTTTATTTTCATGAGTTTAATAGTTTTTATTTAAAGTGATTTTTGTGCTGGGCAGTAGTGGTGCACACCTTTAATCCCAGCACTTCAGAGTAGAGGAGGGCAGATCTCTGAGTTTGAGGCCAGTATGGTTTATAACAGAGTGAGTTCTAGAACAGGGCTATACAGAGAAACCTGCAACAAAAACAAAAACAAAAACAAAAAGGGGGGGTGTTTTTGTCAGGAATAGTGGCACATGCCTATGCTTCCTGTACTCTGTTTTTTTTTTTTTAGACAGAGTCTTAGTATACAGCCCTGGAAGTTACAGATATCCACCTCCTCTGCCTCCCAGGTTAATTGCAGGTAAAGTAAGGAAGATTGTGAGTTCAAGGTCAGCCTGAGCTACATAGTTGATTCTGAGGCTAGCCTGGGGTACATAGCAAGACATAGCAAGACCATCTCCAATTATTAAAAAATAAAGGTGCAGGCTGGAGAAATGGCTCAGCAGTTAAGAGCACTGGCTGCTCTTCCAGAGGTCCTGAGTTCAATTCCCAGCACCCACAGGGTGGTCACAACCACCTGTAATGAGATCTGGTGCCCTCTTCTGGCCTGCAGGCATACATTCAGACAGAGCACTGTATACATAATAAATGAATAAATCTTTTTATTTTATTTTATTTTATTTTATTTTATTTTGGTGTTTCGAGACAAGGTTTCTCTGTGTAGTTTTGGTGCGTGACCTGGATCTTGATCTGTAGACCAGGCTGGCCTCGAGCCCACAGAGATCCTGCTGGCTCTGCCTCCTGAGTGCTGGGATTAGAGGTGTGTGCCACCACCGCCAGGCTCATAATAAATCTTAAAAAAAAAAATAAAGGTGCTTCATTTATAAACAGTTTTGGTGTCATTAATGACAGAGCTGTATTTAGTCCTGTCATTTTTGCTATTTTCTCCTTGATCTTCCCATGTGTGTATGTGTGTCTGCTTTTGTGTTTTTTCTTCCTTTTCTTCTTTTTGGCCAACAACATTTCTTTTAGAAGAAAAACTTTGGTTTGTTTACTCTGTGTTTGTGTATGCATGTGGATGGATTCACGCCATGGTGCACATGTGGAGGGCTGGAGGATAGAGGATGAGCTGGGAAAGTCAGTTCTCTGTGTGAGTTCCAGGATGGTTTCAATTCAGGTCACAAGGCTTGGTGGCAAGTGCCTTCACCCACTAAAGCCATCCTGCCAGGCGCTCCATTTTTTTTTTTTTTTTTAAGCATTCCATTTTAACTTCTCTATTGGCCTGTTAGGTATACTTATTTGTATTATTTTTTCTGGTTGCTTTTGGGGTTATATTCTTCTGAAGAGTGCTTTTTCTCACCTTGGCCGGATCCAAAGCACAACTGCTCTCAATGGGAAGCAACTAGACTCTCTGTTTCGTTTGCTCAGCTTCCAGATGGTTGTGTTTTACTGAGTGCTCTAGTGCCTCTCTAGCAAAGTTTTTTGTGATCAGTCAATAATTTCTGAATAGTTTACATGAAGATTCAGGGGTTTACTCTCTCTAGCTCCTTCTCTTCAAGAATTTCCCCCATATTTCTGGTTTGTTTGCCAGGACCTAAATCTGTTCTCTGTCATCTTTTTTTTGGGGTGGGGGTGTGGTGAGACTATTTCTGTGTAGTCCTGGCTGTCCTGGAACTCACTCTGAAGACCAGGCTGGCCGTGAACTGGCGTTACACTGGTAAAGCACGGTGAACTAGGAAATTCGCTCAGTGGTTTAGAGCACTGGCTGCTCTTCCAGAGGACCTGGGTTCATCTCTCAGTGTCCACATGATGGCCCACAACTGTTTTTTTTTTTAATGATTTATTTATTTTTATTTTATGTGCATTGGTGTGCCTGCATGTGTGTTTGTGTGAGGGTGTCAGAACCCCTGGAACTGGAGTTACAGACAGTTGTGAGCTGCCATGTGGGTGCTGGGAATTGAACTTGGGTTCTCTGGAAGAGCAGCCAGTGCCCCCCATCTCTGAGCCATCTCTCTAGCCCCAGCTTATAGCTGTTTATAACTCTAGTTTCAGGGGATCCAATATCCTCTTCTGGTTTGTGAGCATTACACACATACAAGCAAAAACACCCATACACACATAAATAAATAAATATGTATGTATATATATAAATAAATAAAAAGACTTAAAGTTTGTGCCTATAGTGGATATTCTCTAGTGGCTTCAAATTGTTCTTAATATTTTGTTGAGATTTTATAATCATTGTCTGTGGAGTGTTAACTCAATGAAGATATTCTACTGTACCTTGAATAAGGCATTATAATTAGAAGGAAAAAAAGCAATAAAGAAAACCACAAATGCAAATACCAAAACAAAGTGCATGTGGCTCATGTGTTAAGTCTTTCCTTTTCTTTTCTTTTTTTTTTTTTGAGACAGGGTTTCTCTGTGTAGCTTTGGTGCCTGTCCTGGATCTCGCTCTGTACATCAGGCTGGCCTCGAACTTACAGAGATTCACCTGGCTCTGCCTCCCGAGTGTGTGCGCCACCACCGACTGGCTGTGTTAAGTCTTGCCTTACTATGCTACATAATGAACAAAACAGCCCCAAATGAAAACAGTTAAAAGCTTTGTAAAGACAGCTAATGACATATAAGAGCCATTTACTCTAGACACCAACCAAATCCCAAGATGCCATGAGACATAGTACTCTGTAGAGTCCCTACCTGCCATTGACAGGCCATGTCCGGGTGATGTCACTCACATAGCAGGAAGATTCACAACCTCCATCAAGAAGCACCATCTCACCATCCTGGAACAAAGAAAGGGGAGGAGGGAGCGATCCAGCAATCTCACAACCACAGGTTGTTTCTTCCTGTCTAAATGTCTGGGGGGATGGGTAGGGGCGGCTGGAGAGATGGCTTGGTGGTTAAGAGCACTTGTTCTTGCAGAGAAACTGAGTTTGGTTCCCCAAACTCCCATGGTGGCTCATAACCACCCTTAAATCCAGTTCCAGGGGATCTGATGACCTCTTCCCATCTCCATGAGTCCATGTAGACAAAACACTCACAGACACAAATTAAGTGGAAAAGAAAAGTCTTTGGAGGCTGGAGAGATGGCTCAGTGGTTAAGAGCACTGGCTGCTCTTCCAGGGGTCCTGAGTTCAATTCCCAGCAACCACATGGTGGCTCACAACTATCTGTAATGAGATCTGGTGCCCTCTTCTGGCCTGCAGGCAAACACAGAACACTGTATACATAATAAAAAATAAATAAATCGGGGGCTGGAGAGATGGCTCAGAGGTTAAGAGCACTGACTGCTCTTCCAGAGGTCCTGAGTTCAATTCCCAGCAACCACATGGTGGCTCACAACCATCTGTAACGAGATCTGGTGCCCTCTTCTGGCCTGCAGGCACACATGCTGTATACATAATAAATAAATCTTTAAAAAAAAAAAAAAAAGTGAAGGTCTCGGAGATCCATGGGAGACTTCCTTCTGGTCCTTATCCAGCTCTTTCTCTCCTCAGAGCCTTCACATTTAAAAAAAAAAAAAAAAAAAAAAAAAAAAAAAAAAAAAAATAAATAAAATAAATCTTTAAAAAAAAAAAAAAAAGAAAGAAAAGTCTTTGGGGCCAGCAGGATGGTTCATTGGGTAAGGCTGCTTGAAGAAGAAGCCTGACAATCCTAATAATAATAAACTATGTATGTTAATCTACTTCCTTTCTAAAACTCAATTACTCTTAGCATCTTCTTCTTAGGGTCTCTGTGTATAGCTCTGGCTGGTCTGGAACTTGCTATGTAGAGGAGGTTGGCCTTGAACTAACACAGATTCACTACTCTTAGCCTCTTAATTTTAGCATTTCTTTTCTGCTGTCATAATACATGTGGGAAAGAAGAAAACATTGAGTGTATTTGTTCTGATTTACTCATGCCCTTAAAGATAGGGCATATCTTTGTCATATATAAATAAAAACAGACTTTGGCATAAAATTGATGGCATTTAGCCAGGTAGTGGTAGCACACACCTTTAGTCCCAACACTCAGGGTGAGGGGGAGGAGTAGAGGCAGGTGAATCCCTGAGTTTCAGGCCAGCCTGGTCTACAGAGTGAGTTCCAAGTCAGCAAGGGATACACAAAGAAACTATGTCTGGGGGGAGGGGAAGGAGGATGGAAGAAATGGCAACAGGGTGGAATAAAGTTCCTGCTAAAAGCCAACTTGGCCCTGTATAAAACACTTTATGAAATATTCACATTATATAAGATATACTGGAAAGATTTTTTTTGGTTTTTCAAGACAGGGTTTCTCTGTGTAGCTTTGTGCCTTTTCCTGGAACTCACTTGGTAGTCCAGGCTGGCCTCGAACTCACAGAGATCCGCCTGGCTCTGCCTCCCGAGTGCTGGGATTAAAGGCGTGCGCCACCACCGCCCGGCAAGATTTTTTTTTAAAATGTGCATTAGTGTTTTGCCATGGGAAATTTCAGGCCCCCTGAAACTTGAGATTTCTGTGAGTTCCAGGCTAGCTGGTGCTATACAGCAACACTCTACCTCAGAAACAAAAACAAAAACTAGACCTGGCAATTGTGGATGAAGTTAATAGCACATAAGACATGTCCCAACGATGATAGATATATCGAACACTATCACCTAGAACACAACAGGGTCAAGGCAAGGGGAAGCATCAAACAGAGAACAGAATGAAAAGGTGCAGGACACATCTATCTGAAGACCTTGAAGAAGTAAGGAATGGATAGATAGATAGGACACAGGAACGATGATACCTTAAGAACTGTATCGAGATACTGAAAACTGATTAAAGACATAAACCTATAGATGTGGGAAACAGAATTAAATTAATCTACTCAAAACCAAGTTGGTTTTTTGGGAAAGGGTCTCTCTATGTAGCCCTGGCTGGCCTAGAACTTACTATGAAGACCAGGCTGGCCTTAAACTCATACCAGAGATCTGCCTGTCTCTGCCTTCAGAGGGCTGGGATTAAAGGCACACCATACAAACCCAGCTAGTATGTTTACTTCTTAAAGTAACTGTCCAGTAAAATTTATTTTTGAGAAAAGATGTATTAACTATGATTATGAAGCAGATTTAGACATGACCATGACTTAGGTAAAATAGACAAAGTGGTAGAAAAATGTATAAAGTTAGCTTAGGAAAAGAAATTTAATTGCTGTAATCACTTTAGAAATGTTTGGTATTATCCAAGATGCAAATATGTGCATCTTTCAACCCAGCAATTCTACTATTACATGTCCCTTGGATAAACCTGATATCTTATATGCCAGGACAAAGACAATAATGCCCAAAGAACACTGTTTTTTGTTTGTTTGTTTGTTTTTTTTTTTTTTTTTTTTTTAAAGATTTATTTATTTAGTATACAATGTTCTGTCTGCATGTATGTCTGTCTGCAGGCCAGAAGAGGGCACCAGATCTCATTACAGATGGTTGTGAGCCATCATGTGGTTGCTGGGAATTGAACTCAGGACCTCTGGAAGAGCAGTCAGTGCTCTTAACCTCTGAGCCATCTCTCCAGCCCTGTTTGTTTGTTTTTTGAGACAGGGTTTCTCTGTGTAGCTTTGTGCCTTTCCTGGAACTCACTCTGTAGCCCAGGCTGGCCTTGAACTCACAGAGATCCGCCTGCCTCTGCCTCCTGAGTGCTGGGATTAAAGGCGTGCGCCACCACTAAGTGCCCAGCTAAGAACACTGTTTTTAACATTGTAAATTTGGAAATAACATATAAATGTCTAGCCGGGCGGTGGTGGCACACGCCTTTAATCCCAGCACTCGGGAGGCAGAGCCAGGCGGATCTCTGTGAGTTCGAGGCCAGCCTGGACTACCAAGTGAGTTCCAGGAAAAGGCACAAAGCTACACAGAGAAACCCTGTCTCGAAAAACCAAAAAAAAAAAAAATATATATATATATATATAAATAAATGTCTATTGTCACATTAGGAAATTAAGAAAAAATTTAGTGCTGGAGAGATGGCTCAGAGGTTAAGAGCATTGGCAGCTCTTCCAAAAGTCCTGAGTTCAATTTCCAGCAACCACATGGTAGCTCACAGCCATCTATAATGGGATCTGGTGCCCTCTCCTGGCATGTAGGTGTATATGCAGATAGAGCACCATACACATAAAATAAATCTTAAAAAAAAAAAAAAGCATTAAAGTCACTTAAAAATAGCAATTGTGGGGCTGGTGAGATGGCTGAGGAGTTAAGAGGATTGGCTGCTCTTCCAAAGGACCTGGGTTCCATTCTTAGCACCGACATGGCAGCTTACAACTGTTTGTAACTACAGTTCCAGGGATCCAACACCCTTACATAGACATACACGCAGACAAAACACCAATGCACATAAAAATCAAATCTTTAAAAACCAAAACAAAAACAAACCAATTGTTTTTACGCTATACAGCTCAGTGGTAGAGCACCTCTGGCACCCCAAGTCTGACCCCAGCACTGAAAACAACAGTACAAAGTCCAAAACACACTGCATATGCCTAGTGTTCCAGCTACTCTCAGAAGGCTGACACAAAATGATGCTTAAGGCTGGAGTTTGCAGACAGCCTGGGCTACAGGGTTAGACTTGTCTCTTTAATTCCACCCCCAAAACTTAAGTCACACTTTTATGAAACAAATGATGTTTTAAAATAAAAAGTTAGAATGTTGTAATGTCCTAATTTCTTTTTCTTTTTGGTTTTTTTGAGACAAGGTTTCTCTGTGTAGCTTTGGAGCCTGTCCTGGAACTCACTCTGTAGCCCAGGCTGGCCTTGAACTCAGAGATCCGCCTGCTTCTGCCTCTGAGTGCTGGGATTAAAGGTGTGCGCCACCACCGCCCGGCCTGTAATGTCCTAATTTCTATGAATTTCTGTTTAGCTTTTGGGAAAGGTGGCTAGGCTTACCATGGCCTTGGAGTTCAAGCCGTTGAGTATCACATCACAAAGGCTCTAGGTTACTCCAAGGAGAGTGAGAAGACATCACACCATGTCTTAGTCGCCCTATGAGAATTGACTTAACCCTTTAGACCCTACTTTGTTCTTCTACACCAGTGAAACAGACACATGGCAGCTGTGTGCCACCGGGAGGGCTGTCAAACAGGCGGAGGCAAAACGGTTTCAAAGCTGGGCATGCCATGTACACTGTGATGCCAGCACTTGGGGGAGACGGCAAGGCAGGAGGATCGCTGCAAGTCTGAGGCCGGCTTGGGCTACAAGAGAATTCTAAGCTAGCCTGGGCTATGGAGTAGGATTCTGCCAACAACAACACCCTGCCCCCAAACATTCTGAGGTCATATAGGTTAAAAAATAAACAAGATCAAATCATGTAAATGTGTATTAGTGGTAAAGGAAAACTAATGGACTAGTATGGACTAGAATGAAGCTCGGTAGAGTGCTTGCTTAGTATGACAAGGCTTTGGGTTCCATCCCCAGCACTGCACAGAACTGGGCATGATGGCATCTCACTGTAATCCTAGCATTAGAGGGAGAGGCACACAGGAAGGTTCAGGATCGTTCTTGGCTACTCACTGGGTTCAAGGCCAGTCTGGGCTACTTCAGACTAGGTCTCTAAACCACCATCACCCATACCAACCAACCAAAAAGATAAGACAAAGACATGATTACCACCACAATAAATTCATGAAAAAAAAAGACGATCCTGAACTAGTAGGTTGAGAAAGCCCACAAAGGAAATCCAGCTCAAGTAGCTCCACAGGCATGGCTACACTCTGGAGGCTACCCGCCTGGCTCCACCCAGTGCTGCCTCAGAACCTGCCTGTGTACTGTGGCTTGCTAAAGTTTAGATTATCCTTTTCGTACACTAAGCAAGCATGCTAGTAATTGTTCTTACCTCACAGGGCTACTCCAAGGACTAATGAAATAACATCCATAAAACCATTGTAGAGCCGGGCGGTGGTGGCGCACGCCTTTAATCCCAGCACTCGGGAGGCAGAGCCAGGAGGATCTCTGTGAGTTCGAGGCCAGCCTGGGCTACCAAGTGAGTTCCAGGAAAAGGCGCAAAGCTACACAGAGAAACCCTGTCTCGAAAAACCAAAAAAAAAAACAAAAAAACAAAATACAAACCATTGTAGAGATAATAAAGCGCTTTTTAATTGGCATTCCATTGGCGAGGGAAGGGTAGTGAGTTTTCTATTGGGGAACCTAGGCCTCTCAGGGAGCAGACTACAGGGGCATTCTGCTTACCTTGATGAGCTGATTGTTCTTCACATAGTGCAAAGTGTTCGAGCGATTACCGCCTGCAACCACGGGTGGGTAGGCTAAGATGTCTGCACCTCGGGCCCGGCATTCAAATTCAAACTGTGAAAAACAAGAAAGTTTGACTCACACAATTTCTGTGGAACCATTCCAGCCCAGGCTGTCTTCAGCCACCACAGAGGTGCTTACTCTCATACCTAACCAAACATTTTATGCCATCAGCACATTTCTTTGACGCTTACCTGATGGACTATATATTCTAGTCTATAAATGCCCTCTTACTTCAATCCTGTCATCCAGCTTTACTATACACATGTATTTGTTGAGGCAGGAGCTCATGGAGCCCAGATGGACTTCACACTTACTATATAGATGAGGATGACCTCCACTCCTGACCATCATGTGTCCATTTCCTAAGTGCTGCAATCTGACATGCACCAATACATCTGGCCCAAACCTTATTTAATCTCCTGTAATTTAAGCTTCCCATGGTTTTCAAAGTAAGTCCAGAAGAAGACAGAGAAAATATGTAAAGAAGGCTGAGTCCAAAGACACATGCAAGGCTATTCTTATCGGCTAAACAATAAAATATGGCTTAGATTTTTAACAATACCTAAACACGGCTATTTTTAGTCTTGCAAACAGTTAGCAACCTAAATGCTAGGGGTAGGGGTAAAGGATACTGGGACACTGTAAATTCTGCCATCTTCAGTATACCCCGAGGGCTGCCCCACTGGCCCCACTAAGTGCTGCCGCCTCAGACCTTCCTTCCTTTACATGGACTAGGTGTTGGTCTCCGTTCATACTGTGCACTTTTCTTCAATGTACTCCGCATGCTCTAGACGAATAAGTCAGCGACACTAGGAGAAGGAGAGGCTGTCCCTACTCGGCCTGCCTGCAAGCCAGTGCCACCATGAACCAGAGAACTCACTAGACATCTGCCCCAACAGGACCTTTCCTGCTACATGAAGCTCACCTTCGCATAAAGAAAGGCTTCGTCTACTGGAGCTTTACTGGCAAACATGGTCTCTATGAAAGCCTGGAAAAAGAGGGGGTGGGGAAGAATACAGTCTCATTTTATCTATCACTCAAACATTCAAAATGTTGGGGTTCAAATAAAAGCACCTTTCCCAGCCAGGGTGGGCTGGGGTGGGGGGCACACGCCTTTAATCCCAGCACTCGGAGGCAGATGTAGGCGGATCTCTATGTGAGGCCAGCCTGGTCTACAGAGTGAGTTCCAGGACAACCAGAGCTATACGGTTTTCTCATCCAGATGCTATGACTAAGTAGTATATTTTAGGAGGGAAAAGAAATATTGCTCTCTGGAATAGTTGATGGATGACAGACTTAGTGTTAAGGCACTCAATCTTCCAACTCAGAATACACACTGTATGTTAGTTAGAGTCAGCAATCTGGAAACACCTATGTCTTCTCCAAAACTCATGCTTAGTCAGGCATCAGTGTATGTCTTTAATACAAGCACCCAGGAGGCAGAGGCAGGAGGGGCTCTGTGAGCTAATTAGAAAAACAAAAGTAACAGACACAGACACACACATACACATGTATGTATACAATAAATATATCTTTAAAACAAGACAAAAGAAACTTAATCCTTATTGGGGTGGTATCATGAAGGTCAGGGCCCTTGAAGTGATGAATCACAAGGGCAGACCCCTCAAGGACGGGATTAGTAGTTTTGAGAGGTGTTATTCTGAGTTTCTTCAGCTGTGTGAAGACCCCTAGACAGTACCGCCTATGAAGATTCAGGCCCTGCTGTCACTTGGTGATGCGGGTAAGGTCAAAGCACTGGGCCACACCTTAAGCAAACAATGAGCTGTGACATGTGCAGAGAGCACTCTGGCCAGAGGAAACCTGACCCATAAGCTCCAAACCAAAAGATGATGACATGCAGCCTAGAGCCAACCAAGAAATGCCACAGCAGCTGGAAGCAAAAGCCTGCCAAAAAGCCACACATAAATACTTCAGCCCTTTGTTTAATAAATGAGATTACCTGCAAACCTCCCAGAGTCTTTGTTGTTGACTCTGCGTCTACCCATCCCCTGGCCATGGGTATCAGAGACTGTGAGACCCCAGATGCAGAGCATCTTGGACTTCCTATTCTCCAGAAGTTTTAAGAAACAAACAGCTGTCATTGATGGAGCTAATTACTCTTAGGTGTTCTGATGGCACTACACAAAAGAGGAAGCAGGCCACGTGTCATTATGTGCCTGCAGTTCTGCTATGCGAAATTATGGACTGGATGGCCTAGTCTATAGCAGGCTTTCCCAACTTCAGTATTTTTTTTTTCCTCTTTTTTTAAACTAGGGCTGGAGAGATGGCTCCGTGGTTAAGGGTTCTGGGTGTGATTCCCATCAACCACATGGCAGGCAGTTCATAAGCATCTATAAATCCAGACCCAGATGATCTGATGTGCTCTTCTGGCCTCTGTGTGCACCAAGCATGCCTGTGGTACACATACACACACACAGGCAAAACACTCACATAAAATAAAAAAGATCTAATAAAGTGACATGTATTGATCATGGGTACATGTGTGTATATGTGTGGGGGTGTGCAGGTGTTTCAGCATGCATGTGGAAGTCAGGAGTCTACCACGTGGGTCCCAGGGATCAAACTCATGTTTGGCAGGAAGTGCTTTGGCTGCTCAGCCACCTCACTATTGCCCAAACTTCAGTAGCACTGACAATGGGAACTAGATAATGCTTAGTTGTGGGGAGCCGTCTAATTCAGTGTAGAAAGTCAACAGCATCCTGCATGTCTGAGCACCAGACACTGCCTACATCTACTACAGAAGGGACAAAAATACTCCCCATTGAGAACGACTGGCCCAGAATACTGATTCTCTGTGACAGCCACACCTATGTGTATATCTATTTTTATAGGCATAATGTTTACAACTCACTATCATAACTAGCTCCACATATATATATATATATATATGGTGCACGTGACTAACCCAGGGCCCCACAAGCATCAGGAAAGTACTCTACTACTGAGCTACACTCCTAGGGCTCCAGAAAATATTTTGATTAGTTTATATAGACATGCCTACAGGCCAGAAGAGGGCACCAGATCGCATTGTAGATGGTTGTGAGCCACCATGTGGGTGCTGGGAATAGAACTCAGGACCTCTGGAAGAGCAGCCAGTGCTCTCAACCTCTGACCAATAGGCTAAATTTAAAAACAAGCATTGAGGTGTGGAAAGGAGTTTTAAATACTCATTGTAAACCACAAAGACTGTCAGGATGACTATGGCTATTTATCTCTCTTTCTTTTTGTTTTCTTTTTCTTGTTTTTTGAGACAGGGTTTCTCTGTGTAGCTTTGGAGCCTTTCCTGGAACTCACTCTGTAGCCCAGGTTGGCCTCGAACTTAGAAAGATCCACCTACCTCTGCCTCCCGAGTGCCAGGACTAAAGGCGTGCATCACCACCACCTGGCGACAATGGCTATTTATAAGTGGGCCATAAATTTATCTTAGTTTTCCGAGAGATAGAGACACACACACACACACACACACACACACACACACACACACACACACACACACAGGGTTTCTGTGTAGCCCTGGCTGGTGTGGATTATTTTTTAGATTTCTAATTAGAATTATGTGTATGTTGTGTTGGTTTGTGCATGTGAGGGCAGTGCTCTATGAGGCAAGAAGAAGGTGTCAAGCTGGGCAGTGGTGGCACACACCTTTAATCCCAGCACTAGGGAGGCAGAGACAGGTGGATGGATCTCTGTGAGTTCGAGGTCAGCCTGGTCTACAGAATGAGTTCCAGGACAGCCCGGGCTACACAGAGAAACCCTGTCTTGAAAAGCCAAAAAAAAAAAAAAAAAAAAAAAAAAGGGGCTGGAGAGATGGCTCAGAGGTTAAGAGCACTGGCTGTTCTTCTAGAGGTCCTGAGTTCAATTCCCAGCACCCACATGTTGGCTCACAACCATCTACAATGAGAGGTCTGGTGCCCTCTTCTGGCCTGCAGGCTGAACACTCACTGTATACATAATAAATAAATAAATCTTAAAAAAAAAAAAAAAAGAAAAGCCAAAAACAACAACCACCACCACCAAACAAACAACAACAAAAAACAAGTGTCAAATCTCTTGGAGCTAGATACAGGCAGTTATGAGCCATCTGATGTAGGTGTTGGGAACCAAACTCTGCAAGAGCAGGATCAATAACTGCTGAGCCATCTCTCCAGCCCACAACCTTTGTAAAAGTAAAAAAAAAAAAAAAAAGTCATTTGGCCAGGCAGTCATGGCACACGCCTTTAATCCCAGCACTAGGAAGGCAGAAGCAGGCGGATCTCTGTGAGTTCGAGGCCAGCCTGGTCTACAGTGTGAGTTCCAGGACAGCCAGGGTGGTCACACAAAGAAACCCTGCCTCGAAACAAAGAAACTGACCTGTTGAGGCTAGAGAGCTGACTCAGTGCTTAAGAGTACTGGGTGCTCTTCCTGATGATCTGTGTTTGACTCAGAGCACCCACACATTGGCCCACAACCATCTGCAACTCCAGTTCCAAAGGATCCAATCAACTCTTCTGGTCCCTGTGGGTACTGCACTCATATAGTGTACTGACATGCATGCAGGCAACACACACACACACACACACACACACACACACACACACACACACACACACACACAAATAAAACTAAAGCCCCAAATAAACTGACCTATGGACTGGAGAGAGACAGCTCAGGAATGAAGGGCATTTGCTGCTGCCGTTGGCTGCAGAGGGCCTGAGCGTGCTTTGCAGCACCCATGCACCCATGATGAATGGCTCACAACCACTATAATCCTAGTTCCTGGAAAACAACCATGCTCCATTCTGTCTCCTCAGGCATGTGCATACATCTCTATTGTATTGTCTCACTCTCTCATTTATTTATTAGACAGGGTCTCATTCTGCAGCTCTGCTTAGCCTGAAAGTCCCAGGATAGTAGTGCAGAATAACCTTCATCTGGACATCCTCCTGCCTCTGCCTTCTGAATGCTAAGGGCTACCTACACCACCCTGTTCAACACAGGCACATACATTAAAATAAATAAAGAAATTGACTTGTTTGGGCTGGAGAGATGGCTCAGCAGTAAAGAGCATTTTTTTTCTTGCAGGATCCAGGCTTAGTTCTTAGCAAGCACATGGTAGCTCCCAACCACTCCTAACTCTAGTTCTAAGGGCTCCAGTGCCCTCTTCTGACCACTGTGGGCAACAGGCATGTACATGGCGTACATACACACACACACACACACACACACACACACACACGTATGCAAAATACCCATAAAATAAAATAAATAAATCTTAAAAATATTGACTTGTAATTTGTGAATTCTGAGTTTTTTTAAATCTTTAAAATTTTATATTATGTGTATGTATGTTTTGCCAGTAGGTATGTCTGTGTACCACCTGGGTGCAGTGCCCACGGAGGTCAGGAGAGATTGTTGAATTCCTGGGAACTAGAGTTACAGATGGCTATGAGCCACCATGTAGGTGTTGGGAACTGAACCTTGGTCCTCTGGAAAGGCAGCTAGTGCTCTTAACTGCTGAGCTGCCTCCCATGTTCTAAATTCTGAGGTTTTTTTAAATATATTTCAGATACTAGATCTTAATCAAACAGGCATCTGTAAACATGGTCTCCAATTATGTGGACTTGTTTTACTTTCTGGACTGTATATATACAATTGTGTGTAAAATTGTAAAGCTTTTTTTTTGGAGATTTACATGTGTGTGTGTGTGTGTGTGTGTGTGTGTGTGTGTGTGTGTGTGTGTGTGTGTGTGTTTTGCTGGCCTCTTTGTGAACCACATGAGTGCTGTGCCAGAAGAGGGTCCAGTCCCCTTAGAAGTGGTATTATAAACAGTTGAGAGCCACCATGTGAGTGCAGGGAATCAAACCTGGTCCTCCGGAAGAGCAGTCGGTCCTCCTGATCTCTGGGCCATCTTTAAATTCTGATGACGTCCAGGTTCTCTCTTCTGTTGTTTGTGCTTTAGGAATAATTAACTCCACTGGGGACTTCAAG